CTCAGGGGCTACAGACAGCACACTGCAGCCCAGCTGTGACCTTCTTTTACTCTAGAAAATGGTTTTGGATCAGGCATTACTTGAATAAGCTCAACTTATGTATACAGGTATGAGAAAAAGATTATGTATACAAACTCAGGACTCAGGCACTGGAATACTGTCAAACAGACAAAAAGGATGCTCAATCCATCAAAACTCTCCTGAAACCTCTACCTGGAGATAACACTGTTGTCCTTACAGGCATTTCTCTGGGCACATACACACACATGCACAACATTACAAAGCATGGCTTTGAAAGGTTCATGGGAAAATGGAACTGAAAGGCAATTTTTCCACAAACTTTCTGAAGCGCCCTTGTACTTGCTGCTTCAGACCTAGTTTTGTCCATTTCACTGAGTTGTTGTTTTTGCTAAGTACCCTTGTGCTAGTTCCAACTTATAGTAAGCTCTGTATACGGTTTCCGAGGAGTAGCTGGTGAGTTTGAACTGCCGACCTTGCGGTTATCTGTCCAGTGTTAATCCTACAGTGCCACACCAGGTCTCTACATGTCCTTTTCAGTCACATACCAGTCTTAACTCATGTCATTTTGTATACACACCAAGAAGTGTTAAAACCCGGTTGTTGTTGTTGTTAGGTGCCATCGAGTCAGTACCAACTCATAGAAACCCCGAAATAAAAGGAAATATTAGCATCTTCCTTGAAATACTGGCTTAAGTAAAAAATGAATTAACAGTTGATTTTAAAAACAAAGGAAGATTGCAAGCATTGGGTTCTTCCTTAAGAACACATTGGAGGGAAGGGCGAGTAAGGTCCTGTCTGTGCTGTGGGACAGATATCCCATTTCCTAAATGGTTTTTCTTGTGGAATGTGAAACTGGTCGAGTAGAGCATTAAAAAAAGAGAGAGTATGAACCTACAAGTAAACCTCACTACATTTTCAGGGTATAGAACTCCTATTTTATCTCCAGCACACTGGATCTTTGGGCCTTGGCACCGAAAGTTATTTCTGGATGCTAAACAAACATTACAACATGCAAAGTATGAGTTTTCCTGAACACTTAATTGTGCTTATGAGGAATCTGTACATGGACCAAGAGGCAGTTGTTCGAACAGAACATGGGAACATTGGATGGCTTAAAATTAAGAAAAGTGTGCAACAGGGTTGTATTGTTCCACCATACTTATTCAACCTGTATGCTGAGCAAATAATCCAAGAAATTGGGTTATATGAAGAAAAATGTGGCATCAGGATTGGAGGAAGACTCATTAACAACCTGCGATATGCAGATGATGCAACCTTGCTTGCTGAAAATGAAGAAGACTTCAAATATTTGCTGATGAAGATCAAAGAGCACAGTCTTCAGTATGGATTGCATCTCAATGTAAAGAAAACAAAAATCCTCACCACTGGACCAATAAACAACATTCTGATCAACGGAGAAGAAACTGAAGTTGTCAAGGACTTCATTCTTCTTGGATCAACTATCAACACTCACGGAAACAGCAGTCAAGAAATCAAACGACATATTGCATTGGGCAAATCTGCTGCACAAGACCTTTTAAAAGTGTTGAAGACCAAAGGTGTCAGCTTGAGGACTAAGGTACGCCTGACCCAAGCCACGGTATTTTCAATAACCTCATATGCATGCAAAAGCTGGACAGCGAACAAGAAGGACTGTAGAAGAATTGATGCTTTTGAGTTACGGTGTTGGAGGAGAATATTTAAAGTGCCATGGGCTACCAAAAGAACCAACAGATCTGTGTTGGAAGAAGTGCTGCCAGAGTACTCTTTGGAGGCCAGGATGGCCCAACTTTGTCTATAATAGTCCAGACATGTCAGGAGGGACCAGTCGCTGGAGAAGGATATCATGTTTGGTAAGGTAGAGGGTCTTAGAAAAAGAGGATGACCCAGCGAAATGGACTGGCAAAGTGGCAGCATCAATGGGCACAAGCGTGGCAACATTTGTGAGACTGGCCCAGGACCGGACAGTATTTTGTTCTGTTGTGCATAAGGTCTCTATGAGTTGGTACCAACTCAATGGTACCTAACAACAACAACAATAAACAAACATGAAACATTAGAGTTTGGCCTCAGCTTTGCTTCCACTGACAGGCTGAGGAGTCCACTCTGGAGGTGACGTGAGTGAGTATTGCCTGATGCCACCACATCCCCGGATGAGGCTATGGACTGTCAACCCAAACAGCTAAAGCCCCACCTCAGGGGTGAAGGACACTCAAGGGATCACCTTATCTGGAAGTATTCTATCATCACTTCTGGGATTCATTTCTACCCTGACAGGATTCCGATTGTGGTTCTATAGGATAAACACTAGACTGCTAACTGAAAGGTGAGGGTTCAAACCCACCAACTGCTCCTTAACTTGACAGAAACAACAGAAGTAATAAGCATATGTAAAGAAATGTTAACACGCCAATATTATTTTTGTTGTTGTTATTAAGTGCATGGAGTAGGTTCATAGTGACCCTGTATAGGGTTTCCAAGGAGTGGCTGGTGGGTTTGAATCGCCAACCTTGTGGTTAGCAGTCCAGTGCTTCTCTTATAGCTCCACACGAGGACTTTTTTTTTAACCCATTCTTTTATTTTTATTATGATGATGATGAGCGCATTGGTAGCTGCTAGCTCTAAGGTCAGTGGTTCAAATCACCCAGCCACTCCATGGGCAAAAGCTGTGGCAGTCTGTTTCTAGAAAGATTTACAACTTTGAAAATCCTATGGGGCAGTTCTACTCTGTCCTCCAGGGTCACAGTGAGACCTGTGAGACCTACTTCATCACGTTTATTTTCTTCACACTGTAGTGCTAACCTCAAGGTGGGCAGTTCAAACCCACTAGCTGCTCCTTGGAAGCCCTATACAGTGTCACTCTGAGTCAGAACTGACTTGATGGCACTGAACAATACAACGATCATTATATTATCCTGCTTTCCTCATTTTTCTGAGGATTAGATTTCATTTTCTCTATATTCAAGAAGTCCTGGTACGCACTGGGTGAGGCATCGGGATGCTAACCGAAAGGTTAGTGGTTCAAACCCACCAGCCATAGTGTAGGAGAAAGGAGCGGCTGCTTGTGTAGCGATTTACAGTCTCAGAAATCCTACGTAAGGTCACTATGAGTCACGATCAACTCAATGGCTGCAGTTGACACTCAAGAACTAGATTGGCTGTGGTGGTTGTCAATGTGTTGTCAAGTTGGTTTTGACTCACAGCCACCCTGTACAGAGTTTCCAAAGAGCAGCTGGTGAGTCTGCACCACCGATCTTGCAGTTCAAACTCATCCTACCAGGACTCCCAAGAACTACATATTGTTGCTGTTGTTAAGTGCTTTTGAGTCAGTTCCAACTCATAGTTGTGTAGGATTTCTGAGGAGCAGCTGGTGGGTTTGAACTGCCACATTTTGGTTCAAATCAACCTTGTGGCCCAACGCTTATTCTATAGCACCACACCAGGAATCCAAGAACTTGTTGGTTCCCACTCATAGCAATTCTATATAGGGTTTCCAAGAAGTGGCTGGTGGTTTTGAACTGTTCACGTTGTGGTTAGCAATCCAGTGTTTATCCTAGAGCACCACACCAGGACTGGAGGAAATAAACTTAGTCATATGTCACTAGGGGCCTTTGTGGCTCAAAGCTAGAATTTTTGCCTGCCACATCGGTGACCTGAGTGTGCTTCCTTGCCTGTGCACCTCAAGCAGAGTTACCGCTTGTCTGCCAGTGGAGACCTGCCCGCTCTTATGATGATGGAACAAGTTTCAACAGAGCTTCCAGGAGAAATCAAACCAAGAAGAAAGACTTAATAATCTACTGACCAAAAAAAAAAAAAAATTAATGAAATTTTTCATTTTAATAAAAACCTTATAAATCCAAATGGCCCAGTCTGCAACCAATTATGGGGATGGGGCAAGACTGGGCATTGCTCTTTGCCATGGTACATGGGGCCACCATGAATCAGGGCCAACTTGATTACAACTAACAACAAAAATAAATTGCTTAGAATTCAGGCCAATCCCATTTGTGAATTTTTTGATCCAAGATTCTATATAAGAATCCTCGTCAAAAACAGGGACAACAAAGGTCAGAATTTTTCAAATTCTCTTGGAATCCATACTCTTTGGAGGCATTAGATCTGGATGAACCCTGAAAATGAATGTTTTAGGGTTAAATAAAAAATATCCTCTGGAGTACCCTTTAAACCAATTAGTAAAGAATACAGTCTTGAGCCATGCACTCTCTTAAAGATTGTTCTACGTGGTATCAAACGGACAAGTGAATTCAAAATGTCAGATGGGGAGCTGAGACTGAGGGGCAGTGAGCTGATGTCAAAGAGGGCAGAGTCATTCAGTAAAAGACAGTAAGAATGATTGCACAACCTGAAAATGTCATCAATGTCCCTGAATTGTACATGTAGAAATTGTTGAGTTGGTGCATGATTTGCCATGTATATTCTCAACGTCAATAATAACCAAAAATCAAGCCAAAATGCCTTAGAAGTAGAATAAAAGTGAGCACTCAGACCAAGGCAGGGAAGCACTGAGAGAGTGTGGTCTGAGAAGGCCAGCTTTAAGGGGCTGAGTCTTAGGTAGAGGATCTCATCCAAGGGAGGCGGGCCAACAGTGAGTCTAATCCCACACTGTAAGGCATGGGGTGGTGAGGCTGTAGCTATCACACTGTGAGCCAGCACAGATGCCAAAGGTGAGGAGGTAGCAAGCAACAGATGTCACCAAAGGTCAGTTCGAGGTTCTGGAGCTTCCTCCTGCCTCACTGTTTTGACTACTTTCATGCTTTTCCCCATCCTACTCAGTATAAACCAAAGATTGATTCACGGTCTCTGATTTCCTTGTAGATGATTCTGGTTGTCTTGGCTTGGCTGTAGGCCAAGGAGCTTGGGTACCTCCAACAAAGTTACCCCATGTCTGCCCGTGGAGACTTGTCAGGGCAGGCTAGAGGTACCACGAGGAAAAGGAATGATTTCAGCAAAGATCTTACCTTACTAGGAGGTGGCCCGTGGTCATCCAAGTAAGTGGAATTTCCTAGGGAAAAAGAAGAAAGTTGATGAACCGTTTTTAAAAAACCCAAATGAATTTAATGTAAAGTTATTGAAAATAAGCATTCTAGATATATTTCCAGTCAGAGAATGGTAGCAAAGAAAAATAGGTAATTAATAGCTAATTTGATTAGATTTTGCTCACAGTATCATCCTTGAACACACACAAAAATGCATAAATTGTTGAACAGAAAAACAACTGGATCTATAAATTTTCACCCAAATAACATTAAAGAAAAAAGGTGTATTAACTGTCTTTTATGTATTTTTTATTTTTATGATATTTGAATGAAATGAATGAGTACTTACTTTACAGGAATCCATTCATTTCACTGAAATATCAGAGGTGCTAATAAATATTCCCATTTTATAGAGGTGAGAACAGAAGCTGAGAGAAATGCAGTCATCTGCTCACTGTCACACAACTGTTAGGCTGCAGAAAGGAGAGGAGACAGGCTTTTCCAGAGTGGCCTGACCATCTGTTCATCTGAACAGCCTACCTAGAATCGTACCATCGCAGGCTCTTCCAGAGCCCAGGCATGGCCGACAGTATCGTGTGGCCCCATGTTTGACTACATGGTGGGGGATGTGGGTCCGTGTAATCTGAGGGTCTCTTCTTGTTAATCTAGAGGGAGGGAGGTAGGGAGGGAGGGAGGGAGGGAGGAAGGAAGGAAGGAAGGAAGGAAGGAAGGAAGGAAGGAAGGAAGGAAGGAAGATGACCAAACATGCTAAACAGAACAAACTATAGAAAACATCGGAAACACAGGGAAAAATATATAGAACAGTAAGTTTGAGAATAGTGTAAATGTGCTTATCTGAGCTGATGGAAGGTGCTTTAGAGAAGAGAGAACAAAAAGGATTTAAGAACTTAGAATCAGGAAGGAGCTGACGCCAGGGACAGTTCAACTGGGGAAACATCCAAGTGAAATAAATAAATGGCTCTTGGCTTATAGGTATTTCCAGACTGCATCACCATCCATCCCTAACTGCTTTCCTTTTGTCTTTGAAGTCTTCTGATTTATAAGCCACTAGATGTCCACACAATGACTGTGCCCTGGCAGGCTATCTGCATATAAAGAGACAACTGGCTTCAATGTTCAGGTGCAAGATTCTCAGACAGAAACACTGGGCATGCCCATGATTGGAGGAACATGATAAATAATTTATTAGATCTTGATTGTAGTATTGAATTATACACAGAAATAGGAAGTACAACCTAACGAACTTAGATTTAACATATCGCAGTTTATAAGGGTTAATATAATGCATAAAGATTTAAGATCATAGACTTAATAAAGAGGCAGTTCTGGTGTGGCACTGTAGGATAAGCACTGGACTGCTAACTGTAATACTGGCAGTTCAAGCCCACCAGTCGCTCCTTGGAAACCTCATGGAGGGTCACTATGAGTCAGAACTGAATTGGCAGTACTTAACAACAGCAATATAAAAGAATTTAGGAACAATGGCTGCCTACGTCTTGAAAGATGGAAATGTTTCATCAGAATGCAGAAAGTTCTCACTGCATATCATGTGACCCTATCTGCCCAGGGAAGGGCTCTAGAAATTGCAACAGACTTCAACACACTCTCCCCGCATTAATCTTGGACCAAGTAGAGCTCAGACAACAAAATGTTTGTAAACAATCAAAGGCTTCCCTAATACCCAAATCTCTTTTTGTGTCTAAGTGCCATTGAGTCGGTTCTGATTCACAGTGACCCTTTACAGTGACTGGTGGATTTAAACCACCAACCTTGCTGTTCAAACTGACCTTGCAGTCTAGTGCTTATCCTACAGCACCACATCAGGACTCCTAGCCACACCCAAAGCTCCTACACGCTTCTAAAAATGAGTGGTTTAAAAGTCTGACTTCCACATCAAACTCCAGGCATTGGCTGACTCCTCAGCATCTCAAGCATAGAGGGCTAAGGGCATGTCACATCTTACCTGTGCAAACCAGAACCTTTAGTCATGCATATCCCATCCCCCTTTCACTGTCTTCCTTTAGGGTCACAATGTGCTGGACTACAACAAGGTCAGTTTGAACCACAAGGCCGGCGGTTCAAAGCCACCAGTCACTCCTCAGAAATCCTATACAGGGTCGCTATGCATCAGAACCGACTCGACAGCACTTAACAACAACAACAATACAGCACACAACACATCCCCTTACCCAGAGACTCAGGCCAAAGCCCAAAGGTTCTGCTTGATCCATCTCTTACGTGCCTACCCACTGGCAAGTCTCATCAGCTTGGCCTTCAAATGTAACTCAGGTCTGACCACTTCTCCCCATCCCTCTCAGGCTCTTGGCAGAGACTATCCAGAAAAGTCTCTCTGACGTTTCACTTATTGTGAATTTTTTCAATTGCCAGAATTCAGAAGTTTATTTTAATCATCTACTCCACTTCTGAAAATGTATTTCCAACTGCTAAAAATTATGGGGTTGAAGAAGAATATTACCGTGGGCTGCCAGAAAAACAAACAGGTCTGTGTTGGAAGAAGAACCAAAATGCTACTTAGAAGTCAGGATGTTGAGACTTTGTCTTTCATACTTCAGACTTGTTATCAGGAGGGACCAGTCCCTGAAGAGGGACCTCATGCTAGGTAAAATGGAGGTCAGCAAGGAAGAGGAAGACACCCAACAAGATGGACTGACAGGGCCTCAGCAATGGGCTCAAACATGACAACTGGGAGGATAATGCAGGACCGGGCAGTGTTTGGTTCTGTTCACAATAAGGTTGCTATGAGTCGGAACTGACTCGATGGCCCCCAACAACAACAATACAACAAAGAACAAAACAAGTCACCTCCTCACCAGACGACGCAGGCTCTGCCTGCTACAGCACCACCACCAGTTACAAAAGCCTCCCTCAGCTCAGGTACACACAACCTGTGGTCAACTAGAGGTCTTTTGAACTTGCTCTTCCGTACCTGCTTCATTCCAGCTTAGCTCAAATATCACTTCCTTACAGAGGCCCTTCCTAAAACGTCTCCACTAAAATACACTTCCGCCCCACCTCACACACATACACATCTTTATCACATTAGCCTATTTTAGTTTCTTCACAACACTTACCATTCTCTGAAAGCATCTGGTTTCCCTGCTTATTGTCTGCTTCTTTGAATAGACTATCTGTTCCAAGACAACAGGGACGCTGCCATGTTGCCTGGGGTGGTTCTTACATGTATAGATGGTACGAGAGTCTGCACAGGGTGAATTCTCAACATTGGCTCCATGAATGAAGTACCATATTAACTGATATCTTAGCAAGGGTTTATAAGAAATAAAATATTTACTAGTACATTAGCATAGCTTACAGAGCCCTGATGTCCTAACGGTTAAGCACTTGGCTTCTAAGTCCAAGGCCAGCAGTTTGAACTGAGCAGCTGCTCTGTGGAAGAAAGATGTGGCCATCTGCTCCCATAAAGATTATAGCCTTTGAAACCCTGTAAGAAAGTTCTACTATGCCCTTTAGGGTCACTGTGAGTCAAAATCAAGTTGACAACAATCAGGCGGTTAGCCTGACTGACACTTAGCCATAAAAGCAAACCCTGGAGCCAACTCCAAGTCATGGTAACCCCATGTGCTACAGGGTTTTCTTGGCGGTAATCTTGATGGACACAGATCACCACATATTTCTTCTGTAGTGCTGCTGAGTGGATTTGACCAACCAACCTTTATTTAAGTTCATTTGTTGTTGTTGTTAAGTACCTTTGAATCAGTTCTGACTCACAGTAACTCTGTATAGGGTTTCTGAGAAGCAGCTGGTGAGTTTGAACTGCCGACCGCACATTGTTTATCTTACAGCGCCATACCAGGACTCCTGTTTAGGTTCATTGTTGTTGTTGTTGTTATGTGCCATGGAGTCAGTTCTGACTCATAGCGACCCTGTACAGGGTTTCCGAGGCTGCAAATCTTTATGGGAGCAGAAAGCCTCATCTTTCTCCTGCGGAACAGCTGGTAGTTTCGAACTGCTGACCCTGAGGTTTAGGTTCATAGGACAGGGCAAACCATTTGTATCACCCGGATTCCTGCTACTTACTGCGTTCACAATTTCTTTTAAAACTGAAAGGACAGACTTAGAAATTCTGGAGTAACAGCTATGCTGGAGAAAAGGAAATTATGCGCAAGTCTGACTCACAGTATATCTCCTTGACGCAATCCCATGATTTAACTCTCTGTGTGAAACATGGAAACGTTCTTAACCTCTCTGTACTTAATTTTTCTGATATAAAGATGCTGGTGGCCTGGAACTTATACATATGGTGTGAGGATTAAATAAAGTGATGCCTGGAAAGCACGTGACTCAGAACCAGACACAAAGTGAACCCTTGATAAAAGCTAGGTATTGGGATTAAAGGAGTCTCTGAATGCCTCAAGTGATTAAGCACTAGACTGTTATCTGAAAGGCTGGAGGTTCGTGTCTATCCAGTTGTTATTAAATGCCATCTAGTCAGTTCCAACTCAAAGAGATCCAGCAGAGGGTTTCCAAGGAGCTGCTGGTGGGTTTGAACCGTCAGCCTTGTGCTTCAAAACTGACCTTTCGGTCTTGTGCTTATCCTGCAGCACGACCCCAGTACCACAAGGGAAAAAGAGGAGACTTTCTGCTCCTGTGAAAATTTACAGCCTTGGAAACCTGCACTGGGCCACTGTGAATTGCAATTGACTTGAAGGCAGTGGGCTTTGATTTTAAGTTTGGATGACCTTCTGGAAGTAGACGACCTTCTGGAAGTAGATCACCAAGTCTTTCCTTCAAGATGATTGTGGATTCAAACTGTTGACCTTGCAGTTAACAGCCCAACACATAATCCACTACACCAGTAGGGCTCCTTCCAGAAAACCACAGCCATTGACAATCCCACGCACAGGTCAACTCTGAAACACATGGACTCACTATGACTTGGAATCAACCGCAACTGTTGTTTCTTGTTTTTTTGGGGTGTGTGTGTGTGTGTTTTGCCATGATTAATGTTAGTTCTAATCATGGG